GAGGTTTTTGAAATAGGTGTTGATGAGCTGCTGTATTTCTATTGGCTCTGTAATGATTTCGCCTTTTTCATTCCTTATTGCATGAATTTGAGCTTTTTCTTCCCTTTTTTAATAAGGTTGACTAGGAGCTTATCAATTTTATTTATTCTTTCAAAGAATCAACTCTTTGATTCATTGGTTGTTTTAATTGTTTTCTTAGTCTCTATTGCATTGATTTCTGCTCTGATTTTTATTATTTCCTCTCTTCTTTTGGCTTTGGGCTTGACTTGCTCTTCTTTTTCTAGATGTTTGAGGTATAACATCAGGTTATTTATTTGTATTCATTCTGTTTTCCTAATGTGGGAACTCAGTGCAATAAATTTTCCTCTGAGGACAGCTTTCATTGCATCCCACAGATTCCAGTAAGTTGTATTTGTGTTTTCATTTGTTTGTAGGTATTGTTTAATTTCTTCTTTAATTTCCTCTGTGACCCACTGATTACTAAGAGTGTGTTATTCAGTTTCCATGTGTTTGTGGGATTTTTGCAGTATCTTTTATCATTAATTTCTAATTTCATAGCACTATGATCCGATAACATGCAAGGGATAATTTCAACTCTTTTGCATTTATTTAAATATGTTCTGTGAGTTAATTTATGGTCTATTTTAGAGAATGACCCATGTACTGCTGAGAAGAATGTGTATTCTGTTGTTGTTGGGTGGAATACTCTGTATATGTCTATCAAGTCCATTTGTTCACAGGTGTGATTCAGTTCTTTTAATTTCTTTGCTGATTTTCTGTCTAGTTGATCTGTCCATTGGTGTCAATGGTGTGTTAAAAATCTCCTGTTATAATTGTATTACTGCTAATTTGGTTTTCTATTTCTGATATTACTTGTTTTATATAACTGGGTGCTCTGGAATTTGGTGCATATATATTTAAGATAGTTATCTCTTCCTCTTGAAGTTTTCCCCTCACCAGTATGTAGTGACCTTCTTTATCTCTTCTGATCATTATTGGTTTGAAGTTCACATTGTCTGCAAACAGAATAGCTACCCCTGGTTTGGGGGGGGGGTCTTGTTGCATGAAGTATTATTTTCCATCCTTTGACTTTCAGTCTGTGAGTATCCTTTTGGGTTAGATGGGTTTCTTATAGAGAGCATATGGTTGGATTTTGTTTCTTAATCCATTCTGCCATACTATTTCTTTTAATTGGTGCATTGAGACCATTTACATTAATGGTTATAACTGTTATATATTGGTTTATTGTTGACATGTTATATTTCTGCTGTTGCATCTTTTATCTTTCTGTTCTGTTTGTCTGCTTTGTTTAGTGGTTTTTCTTAAGTGTATCTAAATTGTCTTTCAGTACTCTTTGCAGGCTTGGCTTCGTGATTATGAAGTTCTTCAGCTGTTCTTTGTCATGGAAGTATCTTATTTCTCCATTGATTTTGAAGGACAGTTTTTCAGGGTACATCAGTATAGGTTGGAAATCATTTTCCTTTAGGATCTGAAATACTTCACTCCATGCTCTTCTTGACTTTATTGTTTGTGCTGAGAAGTCTGCTGTGATTCTGATAGGTTTTCCTTTATAGGTCATCTGTCTTTTCTCTCTAACAGCTTTTAATATTCTATTCTTTTGTTTGATTTCTGGGATGGTGATTATTATATGTCTGGGTGTAGTTTTATTTTGGTTATGGCTATTTGGAGTTCTATATGCTTCATTGATCCTGATATCAGTTTCCAATTTCATGTTCGGGAAATTTTCAGCTATTACTTCTCTAAATACTCTCTTGACATCCTTTATGCTGTCTGCTTCTTTTTCATTTATCTCTATCAACCTTATGTTGTTTTCCTTTGCATCATCTTGCAGGTGTTGAATTTTTATTTCTTGATTTCTTGTTATTTTTAAAAGATCTTTCCTTTCCTGTTCACTGACTGCAATCTTGTCTTCAAGGTCTGAAAGTCTATCTTCACATTCATTGAGCCAGTTTTTACAACTTTCAATGGAATTTTTGATTTCCTGTATATCTCTTTGCATTTGTTTTATATATTGTTTGTTTCTTATATTGCTTATCCAGGGATTCTATCTTTTTGTTTAGTTCCTCCAATTTTCTGTGTCTTCTTTAGATATGTTCAGCCTCTCCTTCATTTATCATTTCTTCTTTTACCTGAGAGATTATTTCTAGTTTGAATTCCTTTAAAGCATCCCGGAGTTGCTTCTTTATTTTGGTTACTATTGTCTCAGGTATTTCAGGTGTATGGCATGTATTTTCTTCTATGTGTATGGCTCCTAGGCTTTTTTGGGATGGGCTGGATGTTTGAGATTGCATTTTGGTCTTTCGTTTTGTCATTTTCCTATATTTCCGTGTTTCAAGTGTTGTTCCAGTGTTTCTCCTGAGCGTGTTGGAAATTATCTCTTATGTCCTGGGCTCCTGGGACTCCTCTGGTAGTGTAGCTCCCTCCTTGGGCAGCGGAGCCCCTGGATTAAAAGAGGGTTGCCAGGCTCCTCTCAGGTAGAACTAAAGCCTCCTCAAGCTGCACAGTTTCTCCCTCTGGTAGCAAAGCTCCCTAAGGGAAAGAAGGCCACCTGGTGTGGTCCAGGCAATCCCAAATCCTGCTAAGCCCAATCTAGTGTGGCTGCAAGCCCAGCGGGCCCCCAACCCCCTAAAGCAAGGATCTCATATTCTCCCAGGGATTGGATGTTGTGTAGTCATCCAGCCCCTTGGATGGCAAAGCTCCCCAGGCTGATAGAGGGTCCCCCTATGGCCTAGGTAGGCCTCAAACCTCCTCAGCAGGGCTGCTCCCTCCTCCAGGCAGTGGCAGTAGTGCTGGTGCTCTCCAGGTCGAAAGAAAGTCCCAGGCAAGGCCGGAGCAGGTTCCAGTGGCTCGGCCCAGCTTCCTCCTTCCAGTGGGCAGCTGCGGTGCACTCCTCGGGCAGGAGAGGTGGCGGGCGTGGCTGGAACGGGATCCCTCCACTCGGCCCAGCATCCCTTCTTGACCCTTATACCCCATCTTCTCCACTTCCAACTTATACTGCCCAAGAATTTAAGGCTTATTTGGAACCAGTTCTGTCTCCTGATGCCACATGGAAAGACAGAACAGGTGAAGGAGAACACAGGAGAAGAGTACAGGCAGCAAGAGCATTTGCAGGACCCACGGGCACAATGACTGTACTGTCACTGAGCTCCCAGATGACCACTGTCCCACTGTCACAGCATAGCCAGGCCCATTTGATTTCTCCCAGCTGAGACCCCTCCTGGCTGAGACCGCACAAGCAAGAGCGGTGTTCTGTACTCGAACTTCAATCTGTGCCATCCTAGTCCATGGTCACCAGCCCTGACACTGTTCTCTAAGGCACATGGACATGCCAGGGTGGTACCGCATGGCTTTTGCCAAACCCAGCACCAGCCCCAATGTCCTGGCAAACTCAAGGATCTGGGTGGACCCAGTCCCTGTCTCACCTTCCCTTGTGGTGCGGTCACTCTCTGGGGTCCCAGGGTCTTCGTTGTCATGGGCCTTGATCAGGAGTCTCTGTGTTCACGCCCCTAGTTTCCCTGTCTTTGAATTCTCAAGACAGATTGGAAAAGTAGCCCCGGGGCTTGCAGTGCCCATGAGTGCACTTCCAACTCTTGCCAGTGGGTCTGTGCTTGGTGAGAAGCAGCAGCCTTGAAGAGCCAGTCAGAGCCTCCTGTCACCTTCTGTCCCCAGGCAGGAGTATCCAGCAGCCCTTCCTTTGCATATGGGCAGAGGCTAGCAAATGCCCCCTAACTGAGCAAAAAGAACCCACCTCAAGGTGATTGACTATCTGTAATTGCAAAGACACTGGTGACACTAGCTCAGCTTTCAAAACTCAGTGTTACCCGTACTCCAGCATACTGACATCTACGTATGTGGTGAACAGTGGCAGAAATGCTCTCCCATCGTATGCTACTGATACAGGGGAACAAAGCTCACAGTCTACTTGATAGCCATGAGGAGTCTGTGTTCTCTAAAATTAAAGGGTGAATTTCAGGAACACCAGAGGTTAAGAGAAGAATATATTTATTGAGAGAAAGAAAGCTTCTGTCTGAGAGTGTAGAAGGGGTCCCGAGTGGGTTGCCAAAGACTGTCTTATCCAGGGACTTTTATAGAGCAAAACCACAAAGTGACGCAGGTCTTAGGTAGGCAAAAATGGGAACCTGGAAGGCAAGTGGGCACGAGGTGGGACAGGACTATGGTCAACCAGTAAGATTCCAAGTGTAACTACTTAGGTAAAATTGATTAAATTGAGGTCAAATGGAGAGGCCAGTCATGTACCAAGTGGGCAAGAATACAGAACAGTTACTCTTTCTTTAGAGCGTTGGGATGGTGACTCCTGGCTTCCTCAGGGGGACAGAGACCTATTTAGAATATCAATCTGTGATGTAGGTGTTTTTGTTTGACCTTTTGTCTTGCAGTCTGGCCTATAGCAAGAGGTGTCAGTTTCTTCCAAGCTTGCTAGGTATTTGCTCTTCTGCACTGGCTCCTTCGAGGGCCCAGCCCTATCTGACTGCCTGTAATATTTCTATCTAACTCAACTGTCTGTAACTCTACTTTGGCATAAGGATTATGAGGTATAATTTAAAAAATATGGTAAATTGTAGGGAACCACAAATTGTAAACTGATATAGTTTCTGTCGTAGGGTTTCCATGCCCTGCCTGCCTTGTAGGCTGGTGTTGAAATGCACAAATCATCTTCCTCTTGGCCAGTGAGATTCACCCCAGGTATGGGGATGGATCATGGCTTGTTTCCTTCATGATGGTAAATGTTCCATTCCACCACTACTTCTGTGCTGGTCCAGGAAAAGAACCCCACCCCCTCCACTGCATTGCTGATAAAATACTAGCTAGGTGGAGATTCTGGGCCTTTTGCTCCTAGACAGCAACAACCAGTGGTCCCAGATCCCTGCTATATACCCCTTGACTTTGTCTCTTGCTCTTTCTCTCCTTTCCTGCTGTGATGGACTGAAAACAGATGGTCAATTTAAACACTAGCTTACCTGAGTCACAGTGGTGCTGAGTGTGGATGGTCCACCTGAGGACTGCTGCCAGCTTAAAAAGACCTAGAAAGGAAGAGTAGTTGTTATTGTTCAGTACTATGGCTCTCCTGTTGTTGTGGGATCTCCTGGAAGAGCTTGTCCAGCTTCTTTCCTGATATGAACTTAGCTGTTATCCTCAGAGGAGCTTGAAACCTTGCTGGTGCTGAGAACGGCTGTGGTTCACTGTGGGGGAGCTCCGGGCCTTTGTTGAGCATCACTTCCTGGCTCCAGTGCAGACCCCTCAGCCTGCTGGCCTGGATCCTTCACCCCGTGGGCAGACTTTCTAGCTCCCACTACCGACCTTAGAGCTTTCTTGCACAGATCTGTGAAGCAGATTTATGTGAGTCATTGTCATGGGCTCAGGGCCTCCAACTGGACTCATGCAGGATACCGCCAAGCGATCCAGGCCCTCGGCTGGATTATCTAGATCTTTAGTGTTGTGAGCAGAGTTCCCACACTTTTTTTTGTATTTAACTCCTTGAGGAACTACTATAAATAATACTGTAAGTTCTGTGCCCTATATTGTTCTCCTTGCAACACCCTCCGTGCACCATAACCCAGGCAGGAGATTGGAACCCACTGCAGGGGCTTCCAGTAACTGGCACTGTGGGAAAAGTCACTAATAGTAAATGTTAAGGTGGTTTTTTTCAGTGTATTACAGCAAAAGACATGTTGCCGTTCATCCCCTCAGAATACTCCCACTGGCCTCAAGCACACTCATCCCATCACTCCTGCCGCTTTCTGAGGTGGTTCTCGAAGTTTTCTCTCGTGCCTTCTCTTGGAGAAGTTTTCTCTTGTGTCTAGTTGCATTATCCTGGCCGCTTCTATGTCCTGAATCGATCCAAAATATTTACCTTTCGTGGTCATTTTGACTTTAAAGAAAAGTCAGAAGTCACCTGGTGCCTGATCCAGTAAAGAAAGTGGATGAGGACACCTTCTTGTTTTCACAAGCCTGCTTTTTCTTTGGCAGTAGCACTCACCACATTTTTAAATTACACTCCATAAAAGACAGGAAAGAGGACTTCCCGACCTGCTTCAGAAAGCTGCGAGAACGGGAAAAGCGTGTTCCCAGAGAGGGGAGCATCCTGAGGGGTGAACGGCATGCGTCTTTCACTGTAATAGATTTTTTGTGTAAACATACACCACATTTTTTGGTGAGCCTTTGTATTCTGAGTGAAAGGCACCCAAGGTACAAGAGGGACACCTCCACTTCTTCCTGAAAGCAGGAGATAAACTCTTACATGGAGATGTCTTTCCTGTTCCAAACGAAAAATAATAACGTTCTTCTCATCCAGGATGGGAAGTTGAGGCAGAGAATCTGCATAAACAGGACTCGTTAAAATCATCCTTGTCCTCCTTAGCCTCCCCGCATACTTCAGACACTTTTCCATAATTTTCTCTCTTTGCTTCACCAAATGTGAGAGGACTTGGGCTTTTCCACATCTATGGATCTCCATTTCCTCACGAGGGCGCTAGTGTCACATAACACCTCTGTAGGTTTATGTACTTCTCTCCCATTCATCTGTTTCATGTTGATTTAATTCTATGCCCACTTGTGTTAGCTAAGAGGACAGAGGTACAGTTTTGCCTCCCCGTCACGTCATCTCCCTTCCATGATGACCAGTGAAAAGGGGCAGGGTTGGGGTTTAATCCTCAGTGACACGGTGGCTCAGAGGAAGAGCTTCACAGATGCTTAGTATAGCGCACCACCCACATTGAACCCAGGCCCAGCTGCTAAGCTATTAGGAGCCCCCGGTGCCCCTCACCAAAGCTGACACGGGCGTTTTACTGAGTCCCATTGGATTCCAGGGCACTGATCAGTGGCATTTGCTAGTGTTCAGGATCACTGCGTGTTCACATGGGCACTGTGTGTCTTCCAGGAACCTGCCCCTGCTCTCCAAAAGGCCAAGCACAGAGTAGGCCAGCATTTTGGCCGTGACCATCATCGTCTCATCCATGCCATCACTTGTGGAAAGAAGAAATCCTGGAGCAGGAAATTGTCTCCCATGCCTCCCCTCCCATAGGCTGCTGCTGAGCATCCTGAAGTCTGCGGGGGCCCTGAGGGTCAGGTTGATTGATTGAGCTTCTGATAGCAGACAGGAAGACAACAGCACCTGCTCACCCTCGTGTAGTATGTGCCACAGTGCCTGGCACAGGGCAAGTGCACAGTGAGAGCCAGCACTGCCACGCCTGTCTAATACAGACAGAGACACTGTCCGCCTATACAAAGGATCCAGTTCTGAGGCTCCAAAAGCTTTAGAAACATATTCGAGCTCACACAGCCAACAAGCATCCCTCCAAGGGCTTGGTGAGCTCCAAAGCATCCTAGTCCCATTCACTTGGCTTATCTGGATTCCATTCTGGAAAGTCTGGTCCTCTAAGAGGAAAGATAGTGCTCCCTGAGCCCCCTCACCTAGACAGCGAACAGTGTAAACCAGTACAGCCAGCCTTGTGTGTCCTTACTAAACTCCAAAATGCAACAATAATAAAAATAGCCCAGTTCAACAAATGAGCAAAGGGTTCCAATAGGCAGTTATCCAAAGAAGGTATACATACGGCCGATAAGCACATAAAAAGATGCGGGATGTCATCAGCCACCAGGGAAATGTGAATTAAAGCTTCAGTAAGACAGCACTTTGCATGCTCTAGCATGTGTACAATAAAAGTTCAGGGACTAGCAAGGAGAGGGCAGAAAGAGCCCTTAAATGTAACTGGTGGGGAAAGGCACGATTCCGCTGTTTTATGGAACAGCAGGCTTGTTCCTCAAATGGTTAAACACAGAGTTAGCATACCGTTAACTTAAAATGCACAGAAGCCGACTAAAATGCTGGTGGGAAATGGACACTCCAAGTGCCCATCAGTGGAAACTGGGTAAGCAAAATATGGTACAGCCGCAGGGGAGTATTATTCAGCCTTAAAAAGGAAGACAGTTTTGACTTAGGTGATGACAAGGGGGAACTCTGAGGGGATTATGTTAAGTGAAATAAACCAGTCACAGAAGGACAAAGACGCCATAATGCCACTGCACTGCGGTACCTAGAGCTACCGCCTTCCCAAGGACAGGAAGTAGCCAGCGGTTACCAGATGCTGGCGGAGGGTAAACGGACTGCATGATCACTGAGTACAAAGTTTCTGTTTGCAACACGGAAGAGTTAGGTGACGGCTATATAACATTATGCATATACTTAATGCCCCTGAACATCAGGGCACGTGAAGTGCTTAAGACTGTAAATGATATGTGTGTATAATCACAACTTTTTAAATTAGAGGGGAGAAAAGGGTGCTTCCAGGGTCTGAAAAACATCAAAAGGAAATAAAACATGGTAGCATTTGGGAGGGAGCGTTGAGTAGAACAGCCTAGAAATGTATGTTCCATGAGTGCAGAGAGAGAGGATGGTGGGGACCCAGGGCCCCCAATTCCTGTGTGAGGAGTCTATTTTTGGTTTGGTTTGGTTTTTCTTTTTCTTTTGCAGTACTCAGGGTTGAATCCAGGGTCTTTGCACCGAGTTACATTCCCGGCTCTTTTTATGGTTATCACTATTTTTTTAAATTTTGAGACAGGGTCTCTCTAAGTCACTAATCGCCCAGGCTGACCTTGAACTTTCCATCCTCTTGCCTCAGCCTTCCAGAGGGCTGGGATGACAGGCGAGCACCACCAGGCTGCGCTAGCAATCTGTTTTTATTCCAAGTACAAAGTGAAGCCAGGAAAGGAAGAGAAGGACAGGACTGGGTCACAGCCGGGTCCACTGACCTTCCCGAGCCCCGATCATCTCCCCGGTAATAATGGGGTTAAGAAACTTCCCTCATAGGGTATAAAAACAAAGCATGAAAACTGCCCTGCAAACTGTGCAACAAAGTAACCTCTTCTCTGGGCAACCACCTTTTCTTTTAAATACTGAGGCCGCATTGGCAGGCTGAAGGGTTTGAGGGGAATTTTTCTAACATTTGCAACTTACCTTCAGATGCACCCGAAAAACATAAAACGCTTTCCCAGATGGGGACAGGGATGGATGAAGCGGACAGATGCGCCCTGAAACAGGCGGGAACATCAGTCGAAGGCCCGAAGCGATGGTCAGATGTGCTTTGGCTGTAAAATTCTTTGAACTTTCAGGTATCACTGGAACTTTTCAGAATATAGGAAGATGCTTCCAGCACTTTTAAATTTGAAAATCACTTTCCTCCCCCTCTCCAGCTCCACACTCCCTGCTTTCTCGTCTGGCTGTGTAGAAAACTCACCCAGGGGTGCTGCCCAGTCATTCGGTCCGGGTGGACCTGGGTCCGCTGGGCGCTGACCCGGAAAATAGCCCGCAGGCTGGGGGACATGCGAGGTGCTCGCCGCCAGGGCGCGCGCGACACCCTGGGCTCCGGGTCAGCGCCCCCTTTCGGCGCCTGCAGATTCCGCTGAGGAAGAGCCGAGCGCGCAGGAAGGCGGTGCGCGCAGAGCGAGCCGATGGGTCTGAGCGCTTCCCCCGCGCTTACTCCACGCCTGAGCAGGAGCTGAACGGAAGGAGACGCAATTCATTCCTGGCAGAGGCTGCCCAACGCGGAGCTCCCTGAGTCTCAAAGATCAGAACACGGTGCCTGGTGCGTGCATGGTGCGTGCATGGTGCGTGCATGGTGCGTGCCTGCGCGTGTTTTGGGTCTCACAGAGTCGCTCCATGGCCCAGTCTGGGACCCAACTTGCTATTCTGCCTCAGCCTCCTAGGGTGCTGGGCCGAGAGCAGTTTTAGGTTGCTCGCCTCCCTCTGTCCATCACCTCACTGAACAGAGGGGATCAGAGGGGCTCAGAGGGTGCTGGGCTGAGGAGACCTCGCCTGCAGCCGGTGCCATTCAGGGCACCCCATCCCTATCCCCACCCCCACCGCCCCGGGCACTCGTGCGCTGCACCTGTGCCTCCAGATCCCGGCTGCCAGACTTCAGGCTGGAGTCATTGCTCACTCAGTGTTTTAACATCCTAAGCCGTCATGTGCACCCCACACAAACCAGCAGGACCCTCGCATTTTCCTTTTCCCCTAACAGCCCGAAA